GTTCTACGTACAAGGTTCTCTAAATGGGCAAGCATTGTTTGCCAGCGAGTCGTGCAGTTCTGGTTAATGGCGCAGTGGTGTTGAAAATATTCGATTCATAGCGAATAGAAATTAAATTCTAGGAAATCGAGATTCGCGAGTTCGAAGATCAGTAATCGACATAAATATTTTCAACAAATAAGGAAATATGAGATCTTAAAAATCTCCACCGAAACAAAGATTTAAGAGTTTTAATATTTCAACGCGAAGAGTTACAAGTTCCACATAAAAAAATTAGAAGGTTAAAAAATATGTAGACCTAAAAATTAAAAAATTTTGCAAAAAAAATTGATCGATCTAATCAAGTACTGATAATACAAAAATAGGAGGTGAAAATCGTAGGATATGGATCTTAGAACCTGAAGATCCGTGTCTAGCGTGCCATTCTGCGGATCATGGTTCGCGGCCTTTTAAGCGACAGGTGCAAACATTTGGGGAGCAGCACAAAAAAGGAAGCCAGTAATTGTGAGCCCCGGGTAGAAGAACCAGTTTGCTAAAAACAACCCGGGCCCAGATCGAGTCTCGTTGCGGGGCTACCGAATAACCAACGGGTGTCGGTGTAGTAACGTACGTGTAAGCAGCTCGTGAGAGAAGCGGCTTTTGAAAATCTGCTTTAAAACGTCTTTGAAAATCTCCCTACCACGGGAATTATGCGTTTCGCCGCCCATGAAGAACGAATAGTCTTAAAAATTTACACGAAATATTTCAATTTTTACCGAACGAAAATATATCTATAAAATAATTTAATATAACATTTTAATGTTATATTAAATTATTACATTTAATTAAATTTAATTAAATAGTCATTTAATGTAAATCTCTCTCCCTCTCCTTCTCTTTCTCTCTCTTTTTATCGCTTTTATATTTCTTTCTTACCGGAGGAAATATTGATCTCTTTAATATTTTAATCACTCATGTACTTTTCCGATACGACATTAAAGCGTGAGTTGATGGAAACGTGACGGTGAAATTACGCGATATTGAAAGCTTGTTCCTTACTGCACGTCCGCGTTTAACTCTAAAGTAATAAACGCACGCAGTCGTTCTGCTACGTCGAAAAGGCGCCAGAGAGTCGCAATACTTGAACTTATGCAGGAAATACTTTCTATGAATGAACTTTCTCACCGCTCATCGAGGGGAAGGATACGGTTAAATGCCAAAACGAACCGGAGCCGCAGCGGGTCCGACAAAAATAAATCGCGACTCGCTTCCTCGCTGCGTAATGCTCCATCTGTGCTATTATCAAATTACAAGATCATTGGCCACGTTTGCGAATCGATTTCGCAATGAAAACGTTGGAATTTGGAATCCTCGGAAATTCAAAACTCGCGATATATCGAGAGTATTCGGGCAATTAAAATTTTGAGACTTTAAAATTTTAGAGTATCGCGACTCCGAATTGTTAGTCTTTGAAGACGTGAAACATCAAAAGTTTAACACCTGAGGATATAAAAATTAAAAGTCTGGAAGTTCTCAGAGAACAGTAAAATTGAGAAAAATCTTGGTGACTGCGAAAATTTCACACGGACTCTTTAAATCTCCAAGACTTATATGCAACATTTAGGAAGTAAAGGGCAAGGTGAATTTATCATCGTGCGAGTTCCCGCAGCTTGCGCTTGCGTTCGTAACTACCTACGGTGATTCCTCGAAAAAGGAGAACAATGCCTCATCCGACATTAACGCGACCCCGCTGGAATTCCTACGAGCGCCTAGCTGCGACAGGTGAACCCACGTGTTGTTCGTGCACGGTCGCGATCGCAGTCGCCTAGATTCGAGTTTAAAGACGATCGTTATTCAATTCAAATACGCGACTAACGGGCCAACTCGCAGGATTTCCGCCTCGACGTTCGTTACCGTGTTCTAGAAGAATCGGGTTAGGAAAGGTCAGGCAGAGACGATTGATCCGGAGCCGATCGTCCACGTAGGGATTTGATTTAATGATCTTTTTCCTTTTTTTTCTATCGGAGAAAGCACATCGAAAGTAAAAAGTATACATACATATATACATATATATATATATATATA